ATCGGGATGTATTGAACATAAGTGTGTTGTTATAAAAATAATATATTTGTTGGAACTAACCTATCACTACACTGATCAATTTAGCCTTTACGTTGCGTAATCTTCTTTAGCCATAAAGCGAATAGATCTTTCCTGGGATTTTAAAGTGTGGGACAGCCCATGCTAAGGAGCCGGTGTGATACCACGGCTTCACAGAATAACGGCGAGAAATAATGCTAAGGTTGTGTTTCGCTGGGTGAGTGAGGTTAGGAGGCTCAATCCTCGCATTCATCCTCTATCTTTAAATTCCTAATAACTCCCAAAAACCAGCAACACAATTGTAGAAACTCTTTAGGTATTACGAGTATCAATGGGCAGCACCGATTGCTTATACTTAGGTATATAACCATCTACTATCGTCTATCCGCCTATTATCGATATACGGCTGACCGTTTGCCAACCTATCTCATAAAAATATTATGTGAAACGTGATTCTGTGTGAAAGCTAGCAAACCTAAGATTTGATCATCGCGTGATGATAATCAACGATATCTACTACTGTACAAAGACATCTCTCAATAGCTAAAAATAGATCGCTTTCAATAGAGCAGACGGATTACCTGATGGTAAGCAATCAGCGCCGCCCATGGACATCCGCAACACCAAAGGAGTTATGAGTGTGTTGCCGGCCTTTTAGGGATAAGCGTTTCAGTTATTTAAGGATTGGGAAGGGGGAAACACAATGCTGTGGATGTTTCACGCCGGTTTTCTGTGAGGTCGTGGTTTCACTCCGGTCGAGCCGACCCATTCCTCCTCAAGCTTGGCTCTCTTACACAACTATTTGAATAAGGGCAAAAATTATTTCAATAAATTCCTATTCCCAAAAAATACATATCATTGGAACATAAAACTGTAGAACCGGACGGCACGAGTATAAAATTTCATCGGTTCCTTCTACAATAGGGTCACTTTCCATATCCAGAGCCACCGCCACGGCTATTACTGAAGTATGCGGCCATTCTCGAACGAGCATTGTTGCAGCGAAAACAGTGTCATTGGCATGTATTTATTACTGTTTCAATTAATTTAATTGATGTTTGCTTAGTAAGTAAGTAAGCTTGATTGATTTTTTCTTAGCATTCATAAGTAATTATTGGCGCCTCTATACTGTACTAAGCTTTGAAAAGCAATGAGTAATTGGTCGTTTCCTTTATATTTTTTTTTATGGTCGGCAAACGAGCAGACGGATTACCTGGTGGTTTGTAATTGGCAACCCATGGACATCCATTAAATCAAAAGATTCACATATGCGTTGCCGTCTTGGGATTTGTGGATTTGGGATTTGGGGGTGGGGAGAGGGGGTTGGGACCCCCTGCAACCTCACTTAATCAGTGAAACATAACGCAGTAAGTGTTATTTAAGCCGGTTTTCTCTGAAGTTGTTGAAGAACTCAACATTGAAATTCCATTCGGATTTTAGTTATAAAAAGGCTGACAAAATAAATGTTTCGTGCAGAAAACAAAATAAGTTATTTGGTAAAGTCGCCAAAGCCCCACATTGCTTAGGCTTCTACTATGAAAACAAATCTTTTATGACTAATTTCCAAGAATAGGATGTACACTTAAACGTAATGCCTATTGGCAGAACTGATAACTGCAGTTCTGATCGTGACCGGCGCCTGCGCAAGCTATTTGTAGTACAAAGGTGAGTGAGGCAAAGCTCTACAAACTTATTAGCATTTTATGCTTGTAATAACGCCATTAAATTGTTTACACATAGTTTTATTACGGTTTAAAGTTATTCAAGTAAAGGAAGATTATTTATTTAATGGAACTATTGTGTTTGAAAGTTAATTTTGGTTATTATAGTCGAACTTCAGGTAGGTAGGTATTATAAAGCTTTTCTTTTTTTAAGAAAAAGGCGTTACTCCATTATTTCGGTTTTCTTCTGTGTTCTTGGTGTGTTTACAAACAAATTATTTGATTAATTACACAAGTAATTGTTCCATTCGGGGATCGAACTGTCACATTCGTCAGTAGCCAGTTTACCAGTACTAACCGATTAGTCACAGATTTGAATGGTTAATTAAATATCATAAATGGTTTTTTTTTTCTCGCATCTCATGCATGAGGGTGCGAATTTGAAACCTGGCAAGTACCAATGCACTTTTTCCAAGTTGCATTGAGCAGGCGTTGTGAATTATATTCAAACCTTTGCCGTGTGAGAAGAGACCTTCGCTCAGCAGTGGGCACTTATAGGTTGATGATGTGATTTGAAATATCATTATTACAAACAAAAGTTAATTAAATGATTGCCTTTCAAGAAGCAAATGTCTTTTGTATTACGGACAATATAAACTGCAACAAAGATTTACTAGCTTCTGCGAATGTTTGCGAAAGTTGTCGCGAAAGTCTTCCGTTCATAGTCAGTTGTGGTTAACAACGCACAGCTCATTATTCTTAAATGATTAATTGCGTATACAATGAATGGAATAGAAAGGGAAATAGCTCCTTCATTTCGAGATGACAAGCTGCTGAACAATGGTTTTTGCGTTTAAATGATAATGAGGAAGGATTGGATAAGTGTAGAATTTTGCTGGAGTCATTAGCACTAAATGATAATTGAAAGATTATTTTGGTAAACAAAGTAATTTTTACTCAAAGTATAAGAGAGCCGACCTATTATTGTGCTTCGGCACTAATAGGTCGGCTTGACCGGAGTGATAATACGGCCTCACAGAAACCGGCGTGAAACAATCACAGAATTCTGAGTGTTTCGCTGTGTGAGTAAGGTTACCTGAGGCCCCATCCTTCCCCTCCCTCAATCTCTAAATTTAAAAAACCCTAATTCTCAACAGGTCTGCAACGCACTCGTAACTCCTTCGTTGCTATTGCTCATGGGCGGCCCGGATTGCTTACCAACATCTGCAGTAATCAGTCAGCTCTTATGCCGTTATATTATACGTAAAAACTCTTACTAAGTTCAAGTTAGTAAATTTTCAATTAAAACGCAGAAATAAAGCTTCTTTTCAGTCTTGATTTGAAGGAATATCTATGTAATAGTAACATCGTACCAAGAACATAGTTCGACCCACTAGACATTTTCAGTTCCATGTTTTATGCAAATAAACGAATTTGAATTTTGTGAAACTTAACCACAGAAACCGTATTTGAACATAACTAAAACGAAAGTACACACAGACCATTTAAATACTTATAGTAACGTACAAATAATGTTTAACAAGTATACGTATGTATATATGGTCTAAAACAACAGGTTTGTTTGACAGTTCATTTATTCGCGTTATAGTGTTGGGATTGGTTCGTAGAAGCGTGTAATGAGACACATTTGCATCATATTGGGAGCCCAACACGTCACTAGAGGTGATCGTACCGTTTCTAAGTCATTCGTATGGAAATTTTCAAGTGTTTAGAACCACGCGACTCTAGGTTACATGTGTGTTTAGTCGAGTGCTGTTTTATGTTTTCGTTGTGCTAAATAGTTTTCGGGTAAACCTGTCAAGCTGTCTATGTTGTAGGTGATATCAAAATTTTTATAAGAAATATGATTATGGTTAGTTTCTTAAACTTTAGCAACGAAATGAAATTAATCGTATCAATCACAGATGCGATTGAGTTACATTCCAGAAGTGTATTGCGAAACCAAAGGCCCAATACTTTTTCTGTCCCGATCTCTCCCTAAGCCCAAAATCACCATAATTCTATTCCTTGAAAGGACTCATTAGGACTCTTAACTCCTGTGGTGTTGCGGACGTGCATATACCTAAGGGCGACGCTGATGGCTCAGTATCAAGTAATCCTGATAGCTCGACGGTTGTATAATTGCTTACAGTTTATAACCAAATAGGAGTTTACAAACTTTCTCGTTTTATCCTACATAACAAAAAGAAACAAAATATATATGATTTATATAAATTTCTTAAACGTTTATAAGGCTGTAATATATCTCAATATTCGCCGCCATTTTCTAAGAGGTATGACGTGGACACGATAATAGAGATTGCCACAATATTGTTCGCGATAGTGCTTCGGTGAGCTATTGTGTGGACCCGTCACGACAATGCATTATCCTCGAGCTCTAAGGCTATGCACAATGAGATTTCCGCTGCTCATGTTAAGAGGATAATGTATGTCTAATACTGTTTATATACTAAGACGGTTAATAGTTATATTAGTTACTGGTACATATGTCAGTGTTTTGGAAGGCGTGTTAAGAACAAGACTACATTCTTTTCTTTTCTTTTTAAATACCTTGTCTCACGTTAGACTTTTTTCCTGGGTCGTGGTTGCGTTTATAGACGTTTATTAATTTCACATACACGTCACATCTGGACTTGGAACAACAATTTGTGGTGTGCTCAAGGATTTTTTTCTGTGTGGGGATTGAACCTGCGACAGTTGCCGTCTTATATGTGCAGTCCAATTAAATCATTATTGAGCGTTTGGAAGTGATGGAAGTAACGGTAATTTTTTGACGAAATAAAATCGTAATGTTTAAGGTATATATTTAAAATTCCAATAAAAACCGTTTCATTTTATAATGCAAAAGATTTAAAATGGCTTGTCAGAAAAATGACTCCTTTTTATGTGTAATGTGTGTATCTGGATTGTTTACACAACTCGAACAATTGTAAGTACTTCTTAGGTGCATATGTGTTTTAACATCAATCTTACAATTATTAAATGAAGACTACTACTCTTTAATGTGTAATATATTTCATCGTAGGTGGTTTACAAACACACTACGTTTCCAACTTTTACTACCATTTTTTGTTATAAGACCTTCACATCTTTCAACTAAGGTTGAAAATCGCAGTGGAACCGCAAGCATTTGATACTTGTGCTTATTCAAATATTAAAGTGGGTTTTGATAGTATTATTTTAGGCTAAGAACTCACGGAGCGATTTTCGCCCGCGTCCGCTACGGTTGCGGGCCCGCAGCTTCTGTAGAATTCAAATATTTATATAAAAAATAAAAGCACATTTCACGACGCGTTTTACGCCCGCGGAGTACGCGGTTGTATGCGGCTCCCGTTGTACCGGCGGGCAACTAGTAGAATCGCGCGGGCCGCGGTTACCCGCAGCCTCGGCGGGTGGCACCCGCGCGCTTTGCGATCGGTTGGCGAGCGACCGCGGGGGCCGGCGTGGCTTCTGTGAAGTAAATATAACGCAACGGCTCGTTTCTGGTGTACCTTGCAATCTTGCGATCATCGCCCGCCACGTTTGCGGGCGATGATCGCAACCGCGGCGGCTGTGTAACCGCGCAAATAACCGGTCTCGTGAGTTTGGAAATAAAACCGCAGTTCCGCTACCGCGGCGGGCACGGTTCAAAATCGCTCCGTGAGTTCTTAGCCTTAGTTGTATGTCGTAATAGTGACGTAACAGTTGCTAACAAGGTGTCGTATGTTTGTTTAAAACTTCGATAGTCTAATGGGTGAGTGTCGATACTTGCTAAATAGGCCTCAACTTTGTATGCTCTTTCAATAAGCAATTTTGTTTCAATTTGAGGTGGCAATTGCTTATTAGCTATTTGTTGGGTACAGTAGGCGATACTTCGGGTATCGGGGATCGAACGACGATCTCCGGCCACAGTAGGTGCGGGACTGCGGATGGTGACCAAGGGTAAGTACGGTAAGGTAGGTCCAGAACCAGACTCGAGCGGACGGAGCGAAGCGTTTCGCGCGCGCCGTAAACAGTGGTCTATTGGCTCTTTAAGGCGAGGCCAACAGACCCAACAGGGCCTATGTTCAGCCGGGGTTGCGGGGTAAGGCACTGCGGCCTCGGCCTTGAGCAGGAGAAAGAATGTAAGGTTGCATATAAAATATAACTTTGGTATGGGAGAAACAAAAAAAAAATCTGGATTTATTTCTGTTTAGTCAAATCTACTGCTTTGCTATTGAAACTAATCTGTAATACATAAGTAACAGTCATATATCTACTTATGTGTAAGAAGCAAAACTTCCTTTGCTTACTTCTAGGTAGAAAAACAACTATGTATATATATTGTTATGTTTATATAAACATTCTTTGAATTTATTTACATTGAACATTCTTTAACAATGTGAACAACAATATTTGTCTTACATTAAAAAAATGTCAATTTTGTGCCTCGTTGAAATACGTAGGTACCGTATTTAAGAGTAAATATTATTCAAGTGTCTATTTATTTATTTAACTAAAACCTGTTTTGTGGTTCTTTATCTACTTATTAGTTGCTTGTTCAATTCATTTATGAATATTTTATCAAAAGTTTACTCAGCAATTTTTACGGGAAGTTAATACTCTTTTGAATAAGTTCCCATGTCCGGGCCAGATCAGGAGTTGGGATGGGGAGGTCTTTAATCAGTAAGAGTCGGATATATGCCGTGTCACCTAGAAAGGAAGGAGTTATCGATGGTTTTCTCCCCTCAATAATAAATAATATTCTCAAAGATCAACCTAAAGATATGGAGTTAATTGCTCGTTTTTCTCCATAGGAATCTACACTTAGAAGGAGCAGATAGCTTTACTAGAGAATAGACCGACAGATTATATATATACACAAAGTTGAACATAGTTATTTTGTTTGAGAAGTTCAAACGTTGAAAACAGTTACGTTCAAAAGTGAATTCAGACTTTGGTCTATTTGAAATAATTAATGATTTGACTTTGACTTTGAACAAAATTAATTAAGTAGATAAGAAACTAGTTTCAACTTAAAAAATCGAAATATTTTTCTCTCAATCTTACTTGGTTACACCCAGTAATAACAGTGTAAAATAATGTAACATTTAACTGATTCCCATACTAAACCAGTAATGGAAACCCGCATAAACATAAACTTGGTTCTATCGACCCTGTAAGACTTGCGGACTGCGGTTAACCCAGATTTAACTGAAGTGCATTCATTGTGCAAGTTAAACTTAGTGTGATACCGACAAATGTGACCTATTCATGCTTTGTTTTGTTAGGTGCTTAAAATCTAATGACGTGGTTATCTAGTGATTCTTGTATTAGTGTTAAAACTGCTGTGTAATGTTTTATTTACATTATTTTAATAAAATTACATATTTCGATATCATAATCGTCAGTTCTCATATAATCGAACCAACTTAGTAATGTACCAAAGAATTTGTATGTGACACTGATTCAAAAAGAGTAAGTAGGAGTTTCTTGCTCGTCCTTCTCTATCGGAATCTACACTTTAGAACGAGCAAATAGCTTCACTAAGAAGATGTGTGAAGTGACTGACTTGACTGTAGCTCGATTGCGCCGTCCGTGAATGAATACCCGCAATAATAGGGGACTAATGTGATTGGGTATTTGGGGACTGGGTAAAGGATAGGATTGGCCCACCTGTAACCCCACTCACAAGGCAAAGGGTTCGCAAGTATTTTTCACGACAGCTTTAGGGCATAGGATCGCTCCGGTCGAGCCGGGTGTAATCAGGAAGTAAAACAATGATTTACCACACTCAAAACGAATGTATGTGGATTATTCCCTTTTTTAACAATTTTTGGAGATCGCACACATGAGTCTTGAAATATTGTTTTGGTATGTAGGTAAAGTAGGCAGTACTTTAACTGCGTATTAAAAGCAGTGTACCATTAGAATACTACAATACGGGGTTTCAAAACAATTAATTAATTTAATAACAATCATTAATAAGACCTGACCTTTTCATACAAGTATTTTAATTATACGCAAAAAATCTTTAAGCATTTTTTCCACTAGAATAATATGTAGAAATAAAGTAAAGCACTAACCTTGCCACAAATTGCCAATCCTCAAAATAAACGAACCAGTTCTTACGTAAACATGCAAAAAGGTAAAAATTAAGAAGGTTTGTAATGCCTAATGACCTTGAGTGATATTAAAAGTATTACACGCTGGTGACTGATAAAATTTAAAGTTCAAGGTCTGGGTCACATCTCTAGTGCTAGTGCTGGGAGAGAATATAAAGGCAGGATTAGACATGCGGGTGAGATCGATTTAAGGAAAATAGTTTTGGAAAAAATTGCTTGAATAAAATAGGCGTAATTTAAAGTATGGTACCTACTATAATCAAAGTGTGTTTAGGAATACCTAGTCCGTAAATTAAGGTATTCTCTACCTTAACAAAAATTTACAAATTGTATGAATATTTAGTAGTATTTAGTCTGACTTCTAAAAAACTACGATCTGCCTCACCGAATATCTTCGAGTCGGAAAACCAGAATTTATTACAAAAACAACAATCCAATATAACTTAAAAGCGACATAACAGGAGTATGACGAAATTATTATTGTATTTAATAAAGACACTTTCTGTCGTCTGGCGTCCACGAGTCTGATCAAACCTTATACACATAACGACACTTCACTTTACTTTGGATCGTGCCATAAATTCGAATCAAGCTGTTGACAGGTGGCCACTGGATAATTACTATAATTGTTATTACAATTTGATTGCTTTACTTGTTAACTTTGTCATTAATTGAGGCGTCTATGATGATGAGATAATATTTGGTTACACGAGTCATTGAAGACATTTGAATAATGATGGACGAAAAAAACTATGAAGTAATCAGGTCATTAAACTGGAAATTGCGGTTTGTGGTAGGTATCAAGTAGCCGTGCCGAGGCGAGCTAGCGCCATGCTCACAAAAAGTGAAGACAGAACTGAAGATAGATTTTATAAGCAGGATTTTGGTCGAAATCTCGCATTTATTGTTCACCAGAGCTTTATAGATAATGAAACACTTTTGTGATTACTTGAACTAATTTCAAAAATGCTTTAAATATAATTTCATTCCTGTCACATTGTAAAGCAAATAACGTTTATTTCCCAAAAATTAATTTTAGTCACCATTATAAAAGAGAAGTCAACGATATTTTCGTTAACAACACATGACGATTAAAGCCGATATAAAGCTGTAGGTGACAGATTGATTTTACTATATCGGCTATACATTGGTATAAGACAATAGCCGTCCCGATATTGTCTATTAATACTTTTAATATGTTCGCAATTATTACTGTAGTATATAAAAGTCGAACAATAGACGTGATTGGTTCTTAAGGCGAATAAAACTGTAGGTGACAGATTGATTTTACTATATCGGCTATACATTAGTATAAGACAATAGCCGTCCGATATTGTCTATTAATACTTTTAATATGTTCGCAATTATTACTGTAGTATATAAAAGTCGAACAATAGACGTGATTGGTTCTTGCTAAAGGTAATAGGTAGCTATCATTAATAGACGCATTGTCACTGTATTGTGATTGATCGTAAAACTTTATGTGTATGTCAAGATAATTCCTAATTTGAGTATCTGTATAATTTCTAATGTGTTGACAATGATGCTCATTCTGAGGCCAATTATCATGTTAATTGTGATAAATTAATATGGAATGAATTTCATTAAAATTAGAAAAAATAATATGAAACTAAAAATGAGAAAGGAAGAAATAGTTAAATTTAGAATTCACCAAAAATTGTTGTGGTTTGGATTACCCACTGGATCGCATTGCGCGGTTAAAGGCTTATAATAAAAATATATTGAAATGATAGCATGTAATCGGATGAAAACGGTAGATCTAACTATTGAAGCGGTAACATGCAATTCGCAGATTGTTTTTCGATAAAAGAAAACTGTACCAATATTTAGAATCGAAATAGATGAAAAAATGAAAGGATATTAAAGGAATTAACATCATAGTAAATCTTAGAGTCTCAGAATGTCAACAAATCAATCTCCCCGGATACACTGTAATGAAGAGAAACAATAATCGTGCGAGATGAAGAAAGACTAATTCCATTCTCATATTTACTATGAATCAATTGAACGTACAGTGTGTAAACCAGGGTCAGATAGTAGCACTAAGTATCAACAGAATATGAAATGGCAGTAGAGGAAAACAGAAGAACACTCAAATTAGTAGGTTCATTCAACAGTAGCAAAAGATAAAGACATATAAATGGCTTGGAAAAATATTAAAATCAAAAAAGTCAAAATACTTGGCAAATTATATAATATGATAAATCTATAACCAAAAAATTTCATTCCAATTGATAAAACTGCCCGTACGCAAGTACACACAGGTACAGATATAGCCGAGCCAATCAAAGGAGATCATAATTCAAGAATAGACACAGGAATGTAAAAACTTTATGATAGTGCATTCATCTGGTTTGTAACAGTAGCCACACGAATACTAAACGATGTTGATCATAATGTTTATTTTATTGGTGATACAATGAAAATTACTGATGGACAACATTGAAAATTGGTCGTAAAAATCGTCTGAACGAATTTCGTAATTAAGAGGACGTTTGCCTTTAGCTTTGAAGGACAGTATCTTCTAACAGTTTTTAGCTTTAGAAATGCATTATAACGGTATGGAAACGGGATTTTAGCAAATGTATTCGTGAATTTTGGTTTTTGAGTGGATATGACTTTATCATTTTTGACGATAATGGTTTTAGTGGTTAATAGAGCTTCTTTATATTTTTTATTTGTATGTGTCTACCTAAATGTTTTTTTGAACTTGGGTATTTCAAAATTCATCACGATGAAATTGGATCTTATAATAAATATTCAGAGTCCTAATTTTTGCATGCAATTTTTGTTGGTTTTCTCGATATTTTATAGATTGATATATTATTCATTATAATATTTTAAATGTGTGAACTTTCACTAGAGGGATTATATACATAGTATAGTTATATATTATAGTATGTTTTTCGCTATTTAAGCACCAATGCTATAAAGTTATTGCATACACATTTTTCTGGTAAATTGTTTTCGCCCCTGACCTTGGCGAGTCCAAATTCGTCTATATACATCATGGTGGAATTTAAACCAACTTTACGATGTATGTCAATGATATATGAATTAAATAAATAAACTAGGTCCATCGAATGTAAAGAAGTTTTATTCGGAACGCAATGAACTTTATTAAGTTATTAAGATTCAGCCACATAATAAACATTTGATTGCTGCAATAAAAATATTATATGATCTACTTTTCTATGTTTGCAGTTTAAAATGGAATGTGGATTTGTTAAGGCTATATTTATAGCTTCTATTTAGTAAGTAAGTAAGTAAGTAAGTAAGTAAGTAAGTCATTTATTTTGCAAATATGGGTACAATACATGGTGATAGAGTAAAAACAGGTAGGTTCAGCCACATTTTACCAGTAGGCATGCAAAAATTTTAATTTGAAGCTAAAAATAGATACTGGAAATTAATACTTTATACATTGAATAATTTGACGTTATAACTTATCTTGATAAACATTTACATAATAATGTCAGAGACCAGTTACAGTTATTGTTGAAAACATAATTTAGAGTCGATTAATGTCATATAATACAAAAAAATGTCATATAATACATTTTCAAATACGGCGTCAAAAAGTGTAAAAGTGTAAAAGAAAAAAAAACAAAAAATATATATAAAAAAGTCAAACAAAATAGCTATTTTGTTTGACTATATATTCAGATCACTACCTGCATATTAGGAATTTCAAAATTTTTCTCAATAAGGAATTCGCTGACAGTATAGTATGCTTTATGCGTTAGAAAACTTCGAAGACTGTTTTTAAACAATGGTAGCGGTAATTCTTTCCATTGCTTAGGTAATTTATTATAGATTGCCGGAGCCATGCAGTAGACACTCTTCCGCATTAGTGCCGTTTTGGCTGGGTGGGAGCAGTGCATTATTATCTCGTCTGTTACGTGGAACTACATCGGCCAGACGTTTAAAACGATCTGGGTTGGACTTTACAAACACAGCTACCTCCACTATGTACAAACTAGGCAATGTTAATATTTTATGCTCTTTAAAGTATGGCATGCAACTATCAGTAGATTTTAGCTTAAACATCGCCCGTAAACACCTTTTCTGTGCTTTAAACACCGTTTCCCTTTCGGCTGAATTTCCCCAGAATATTATACCATAACGTAAGTGGGATTCTACTATGCCATAATAAGCAGTAAGAAGTACATCTATGTCAATTATTGGGGATAATGAACGTAGAGCGAAGGCGGACTTACTAATTCTCTTACATAAGGCATCAGAATGTGCTTTCCAATTTAGATTTTTATCTATTACGAGTCCCAAAAATTTTGTACTGTCCACTTCTTCTATGACTTAATGGTTGTACTGTATATTAGGACGCGTGCTATGAATCCGCTGACTAAAGTGTACAGCTTTTGTCTTTTTTAAATTTATTTTTAAATTGTTTGCCTCTAACCAATATACAACACTATTTAAACACTTATTAATGTCCGATTCGTATGTTACCAGATTTTTACATGGAATTGTCATAGTGCTGTCGTCTGCAAACAGTGTTAATGGGTGTTCAATACATTTAGGTAGATCATTTATGTATAGAATAAATATAAAGGGACCTAGTACACTCCCCTGCGGTACTCCATACATAACTTTACGCTCTGAAGATCGATATATCTCTTCGCGCTTGCTAACTGGATTAATTTGGCAAATTTCAGTAATTTGTTTTCGGTCTTTTAGATAACTCTCAATTAGTCTAAGTAAATTACCTCTTATACCATAAGCTTCAAGCTTACTTGTGAGAATTGGATAATCTACGTGGTCAAAGGCCTGTGTCATGTCACAGAATATGCCACATACAGGTATTCGATTATTGACATTTTGAATAACATTATATATGAAGTCGAATATAGCCATATTAATAGTCCTATGTTGTCTAAACCCTTTCTGTTCGTCACACAGAATGTTATTCTTTTCAATAAATTTGTGTAACTGTAAATAAATGTACTTCTCAAATATTTTGGAAATCACAGGTATAAGTGCGATTGGTCGGTAATATTCCATTAATTCTCTGTTCTCTTTCTTAAATATCGGCTTTATTATTGAAGTTTTTAAGGCATCCGGGAAGATTCCTGCGCTGATACTAAGGTTAATAATATAACTTAGATGACCACATATTTCGATAGATACGCATTTAAGTATTTTCGTACTAACGCCATCATATCCTACACTATTTGTGTTACTCAAAGACATTATTATTCTATGTATTTCTACCGGTACACTAGGCGATATGAACATTGATTTAGGGCTCGTGTTAATCTTAGTGTAGTTGGACCTGGTGTCTATCTGCTTTGGTTGTATTTTATCAACGAAGTAGTTGTTGAACGCTTCAGCAATATTTTTGGGATTTGAGACAATATGATCACCAACCTTAATGTTAGAAATTATTTGTTTAGGTAAATTATGTTTAGCGCGGTAAATAATTTGCCACGTAGCTTTTGATTTGTTTTTAGACAGTTTAAATTTGATTATTTAGTGCCTTTTGTGTTAGTTGTATAATTTTTTTGTGCAATTTTGAATATTGAGAGAATTTATTTTTACTTTCTTTATTTAAATTTAATCTCATCTGCCACAAGAGCTTTCTTTTCTTTCGGCTACACAATTTATTTATTTATTTTACCTTTAGCTATAGTTGTATGTGCAGGTATGTACAAATACATATGTTTTGTGGTAATTGGTGGTTGAATAACACATTTTATTAGAGCTTAAGGAACTTCTTGTCTGAATCAGTCTATATATGGTGTCTATACCTTCCTGGGTTCTGCCTCATTTGATGACATTACATTTTAGTAACCCATATTAAATTAATAATTTAAAGCTGTGCGATGATCACCGTGTCGTGTGTCGCGCAGTGCTGAATATATGAATATGAGCTCTCACTGTGGATTGAAACTAGTCGAGTTCCTCGTTAATCAGTTTTCTAGTACATAAGTCGTTAAAGATTTCAAATTTATAAAAAAGAATCATCACAAGCTTAAAAGATTGATATTATTTAATAACTCAACTTCAGGCATCACAACGTACAATATTCGAGTTCACAATCCAATTACGAATGTGACGTTTTTACCAAAAGGTTCATTATGGCTAAATTTGTCATTGAAAGGCCTTAGCGTCGTAAATGTAATTTGAAATAAGAACTTACCGTGCATGCGAAGAGTGCGTTCTGCCAAGTGGCCTTGTTCTCACTGAAGTAGTAGCAGCTGTGTCCCAGCCTGATGAACTGCGGGGGGCACACATACGACATCTTCGTGTTGTTCCTCTGACCTTCCACTCCTCGACCTGGTGAGAAGTATCAAATTAATGGTTTGAGTTTAGATATTGGCTGGTTTTATTTCGTAAGGTATATTTGGCTTGTTTTCGTCCAATTTGGCAATTGAATGATGGCCTTAAAGTAAGCAAGCAGATGTCTTGGATGTGTTTCTATGATAAAAGTTTTCGTCGTTATTATGACCATTACCTTCATTATTTTTGAGCTAAAAGTGATATAAATGTACAGCTGATATTGTAATGATATTATGTCTACTCACATTTTTGAATATTCTATTTATTGACGCAGATACATTATGAGAATAAGAAGATGAATGCCTAGTGCATGGATTTTATTGTTTTGGCAATTAAAATTTGGGAAAATGTATTTATTGTACTCATTATGACCATTTTGGGCTGATCTTTCTATAGACAGATTAATATTACCTGAGGAATAAAATTGTTGCTGTCACTGTCTTATACAAACATTCTGACGCGACAGTATCATAATTATTTATCAGATAACTTTTATTTAACCATTGAAAATTCAGCCCTTAGTTAAATACATACAAACTGTAACTTACGTTGAAAGAGTTTCCCAGTTCAAATAAAAGAAAACGCAATAAAATTATTGCAAAGTCACAAACAATAGAACGTTGATTTCACTTTATATGACAGAAGCCGTTTCAAAGATGGCGGCTGCGGCGCAAGTTGAGAGATTCAAATAATTTAATAAGCTAGACACTAGACTACTGCAGCTTTCACACTATTAAGTTTACTGTTCCATTAAATTTAGAGGGCCGTGAATAAATGAGATAGTGCATGCATGGTTTATTTGTATTTCAAACTGCAGTCTGAATTAACTTTCATTTTGTAGTCGTGTATATACAGCCTTTCATTTGTTTTAGGAACTTGCGTATATATTTGTCTATGTGTTAGCAAGACTTTTTCATAAAAAGAACTATGTATAACTTTATATAAATTGAATAGTGCGTCTTAATACCATGTTTGTACAATCCTACGAATTTACTTAGTAAAAAAATTGCTTATAACTTCCGTGAAAACTTATGTTCTGTTACTAAGTATTACTAGTGCGTGTAGAATTGGTGATAATAGAAACATTATTAAATTCCTTCGATCTTGTGGTAATTGGCACGAATTTCCTATGCCGTTCCACTTTATAAGATTAATTCGATAAAACTGTATTGTTGGGTTTTTCTATAGTACTGTATGTATCTATACGTACGGTGTTAAAGTAAAAAACAAATGTTTAAGTTATTTTCCAGAAAGGTCAAAACACATTCATCATTTTAAATTTTGAATTTTGAATCGTATCTTAATCTGGTACCAATGCTGCTATACCTACTTACCTAAAACCAAACAAGCACAGGACGCAATTATAGACTCCATAGTTTGGAAGGTACACGATGTTTATAACATAATAGGTACCTTCTTATCGCACTTGTATGATTAATAAATCTTGTGAGCCCCAAAAATAACTCCAAGAATAAATATTACATATTTTTGTCTTTGTCATATTTCAAAATAGTTCTGTACATTAGCATATTTTGCTACCATCTTAGGAGCTAGTGACAACAGTACAGATATATCTTGAAGAACACAGTCCATAATATTAACAATAGAATTTGCAGACGGCAGCATATCAAATCACCCTGATCTGTCATATTGCATCAGCCAATTTTCACCTGTATCACAAAAAGAAAAGGTTGAAAATAGTGTAAAGATATTGGACAGGTGAGCTTAATGTGCTGTGTATGTAAATGCCATTGTTAGCGTTATCAGTAATCGGAAACAACCTCAGCAGTCCACGACTTCCATTAGTATAAAGATAGTGGGTGGATTAGCCAAATAGAGATCAAGTTCTTGGCCAAGGTCGAAAACCAGACGGCATTAGTTTTCTAGGTAAACACGACATTGGATTTGTTTTTTAGAACGAGATGCTAGAAAAGAAATTGTGTATTTTTCAATGAGTTGCTGAATTCAAGGCCTTGGGAGTTATACTCAATGAGTTTTTGACTGTCAAAGTCCTGAGAAGAACAGTGTCTGATTCAAATAATGTTTGATCGTAGGCCGATTAGCAATACATATGACACTAGTCCTAGCATATGGGACCAATCTTTCCCCTCCTACAATCTCTAAATACTCAAACCCTAACTCTCAAAAGTGGGCAACACACTCCTATCTCTTCCGCTGTTGAGGGCGTCCACTGGTGGCGCTGATTGCTTACCAACAGCTAATCCATTGGCTCATTTGCCGTCCTATCACATAAAAAAGGAGGAGCCGTCATCATTTTTTTTTGTAGAACAACAAATTAGTATTTAATTTTAGTAAAATTTGTCGAATAAAATAAAAAAAGACATGAGCGCGCCATAAATGTTATACTCGTGCTTATTGCATCGGTACGCTAAAATTGATGCCTCGTTTAGCTTTACTAGCATAGAGATGCCAGTGGCTAGCGCGGAAGCTAGAATTATTGCGGAAGTATGTGACCTAGCCACTAGCATAGATTTAACTGTTATCTAGACTGGAATTTATGTAGGTTTTTATGAAAATTTTCTGTATAAAAATGTAATTCTTTTTTACTGCTTAATCCTGTATAATTTGCAGTCTGCTGTTCTTAATTTTACTAAGGATTTGACCTATATATTTTACGGAAACGGTTTTTCTTGAAATGCATATGACCTACAATATATATAAGATACTAAAAAATACTCACATTGCGACCAAAACACGATGAATATGATAGCAGCGATCGCCGCCAACTTTCCTCTCCGTTCCATGGCTTCCATTTTGTTTTTATAACACACTAGTTCAACACAAATCACACACAACCAACACTTAATCACTGGCCAGTTCTCCACGAATCCATATTCCAATTACAAATTTAAAAAAGGAATAGTCGGCTAGGACATGTCGAATTCGAAATTGGATCGCACGAATTTAATTTTCTTTTGTTTTGTTTCGTTCACAACCTGCAACAAGAGAAAAATATATTTAATTAATATGAAATGAATACAGCACGTAGCGTTTTACGGCGAAATTGTTATTGTATTGAATAGATAAAACATATTTTAATAAATGTCATTGTTCCCAATTCAAAATATATCATTGGGTATGAGTAATCTTCCAAATTCAAATTTTATCTATAATGCACAATGCATACTTTTTTATTGTTCCATGCGTAATATAATACTACAAAATTCAATCGCTATAATTTTAATTATATATGTTTTTCATTAAACTACTCATATTTCAGCTCGAACACCGAATCAAGTTACAATCACGATCGCTTACTTTGTAATGTGAATGCATTTTATTATTATGAGCACCTGGTTTAGCAAATATGTTTAACTAAGCCAATCAAAGAAAGTACTTACAGTAACAATAACATACATACTCGTATTACGAACATTGACCCCTTTTAATACGCAATATAAGCAGTTGTTCACGTAGCTTATAAAAAATTAAACATCCTGTCTTTTTCAGTTCAGAATTTTAAACGAAAGGAAAAAAATATTATTCATAAACTCCGGAACAACGAATCATAAATAATTAAAAAGATTCATATTTTTAAAAGAACTTTTGTTTTATAAACGAAGAAAACGCCATTTTTACATGTAAAAACATTATATCAGAGAATAGTTGTATATCGCCTCATTTATTATTGTAAGAGATAAAACAATAGAATTTTACGAAATTACAATACTTTTTCATTAATATGATACTCAGGGGAAATTATGAAACCCATTTAAAACTGGCCCATGAGAAAAAGAGGATGCAATGAAAAGAGTTCAGAAAATAGAAAGGATATTTAATTAGTTTTTCAGAGATCCATTTATACAGAGTAAGATAATTATTAAAGAACCACATTTTTCTCTGTAACTACTTCTTTAGATGCTTTTGTCATCATGCTACTGTTTTAGCAGAGGGCTTAGTAGCGGCCTCTTTACACACGGAGAAGGTAAGAGCATTGAGCATTAATCAACACGTTTGCCCAAGACGGATTGGCGACATCAAACTTATACATATTTAGAAATAATAAGACAAAGTTCCCTCATGATGTTTTCCTTCAATGGTGTAAATGATGGGTAAATAATCTTCGAAAGTACATTTGTATATTTCGGAATGACTCTTATTAATAATAGTTACGATTAGTGATAGCTATAAATATCTAGAATTTGTGTAGTATAGTATATAGGTAGAATACAAAAACAGGAATTGGTGAGGAAGCACTGGACTACAGGGTCTATCTTACATAGGAAGAGTTGACCTTGGCTGGTTCTCCTCTAAATAAGCATTTTACGAGTACCTATAGTCTTAACAGGCTTCACAGATCACCGTTAAAACCATCATACGGGTAGTAGCGCTGTCAGACAGCGCTACTACCCGTATGATTATTGTTGATAGCGTTCTTTATCTCATGCCTTATCTCTTACTCGGTTTCTATACCCGTGTGAAGAATAGACTGAGGTAGGTTTCGTATCCACCTCATTTTATAAGTCTGAATGACTAGTGTCTGGATGTTTTATAAGATAATGAGTCTGTTAATTGACCCGTTTTGATTGCGAAAATAACTCAGTTGTGTCCGCATTTTATCTTTTATAACGAAGCTCTAGATTTCTGTGTCGTGATTAAAAAATAGTGTTCCTGCTCACCTAATTATTCTATGTAGGTAAATTACTGGATATTATATCTATAAAATTTAAATTCGTAATATGTTTCAGATTTTTTTTAGAAACTTGAGATTAGTTATTTTGAGCGACGAAGAAAAAACTGAACTTTAAATTCGATGATGCCTGTTTATAGTGGTAAAAGCGAAAAAAAAGAAATGGATTTATATGTATTTTTATCACAAAAAAAATTAAAATGTATGAATAGGTTAATTTATTAATTCCCAAAGGAAACAGAAGCCAAAAAAATATCCAAGGAATGTTGCATAAAAACTTTTTACATTTAGCCATGAATTACAGGCAGTTATAAATTTTTAAAATTTGACTTTGGAACGTGGATTCTATGTCAATGTTATTGTGTTCAGCCCACGTGACCGAGCTTACTGACCTAGTGCGCTAATTCTGTAGATGTTACGTGTGTTTTAATGACTAGAACTAGAAATACATAATTAAAGACATCCTACATACATCGTATGATTATTTTGCATAATATTTTGCATAATATTGTTACCCGACTACGGCTAAGCAAAAGGAGGGTTATGATTTTCATCTGTTCCCTCCTAACTTCTAAACTATTTATCAGAATTCGACATATGACATATCACAAAATCTAATGTGGCGTCCTCTAGCGGACAAAACAACCAGAGTAAAAAAATAAAGTTAAGATATATTTATACCGTGTTTGGTATCTTTTTAAAGTGCTTTACTTGTACATTTTGAATATACATATATATACATTACATATATATATATATTTCTAGCATTTGCTTGTGACTTTGCTTGTATTCATGGGCTGATTGCATATATTACACATCTTTTCTTTCATTCCTTTTACTACTTAATATAAGTTTATTCTTTTGTTGGTAATAAGCGCCACAAATACTCTTTGACACCAAAATAGTACAAAATAATAAAAAGTATTAAAACTAAAACCCAACTACGACAAAATTTGACGCTGATAAAGTATAAAATAAAACAAGATTTTCAGAATACTGAAAGGCGTAGTCACACGTTATCAAAGTGCAGGTATGGTAAGTAAAATTTTATGTGTTATACTTCTGTGACTTTTAAGTTAAAATCAATATACACTAATAAAAAATGTGTGTGTGCGTGTGTGTTTTTTCATGTACAAAAAGGTACTAAGTATATTTAATCAAAATATCAATTTATATAAAGTAATTATGATTATCTATACTTATAAAGGTGCGGGGTTTGTATGTTTGAACTTGCTAATTACCAGAACAATTCTTTTTGTGATGGATAATCTATTTTTCGGATAGGCTACAGGCTAGAAAACATCGCTGCGATTAACAAGAATTGGTCAGTTAATGAAATCGCATCGGATCGCTTGTATGTTTATAAAATAATAATATGATAATTTGTTAATGACTTTAGACCTTCGAAACCAATATTCAATCTATTAAATAAATGTTGTTAACATTTAATTAAATGTTTCAACTAATGACTGATAATGAGCTTATGATTTATTATTTCATCTATTTGTTTTGACCTTTTTACAACTATTTATTCATTAATCGGTAGTTGTATAAGTAGTTAGGATAGAGGTTTATATATATTTTATTTCATTATTTACACATATTAGTCTGTGATAGTTCAATACTACCTACTCTCCAATCCATTTACATCCAGGGTTGCGTTGTGTAATTATCAATTTTCATTTTTCAACATTTTTTATAAGAGCCGGCAAACGAGCACACGCATTACCTGATGGTAAGCAATCGGCGCCTCCCATGTACACCCGCAACACCAAAGAAGATACGAGTGTGTTGCCGGCTTGGGGATTAGGATTTTGGAGGTTTTGGGATTAACTTCGAGTAACTTCACTCATACGTCGAACCACAACGCTGTGATTGTTATACGCCAGTTTTCTTTGAGCCCGTGGTGTCCCATTCGTGGAGGATGAATGGCTCTCCTACACTTAGATTGCAACCGACTAAATCAAATACGGACAATAATCAAACAATCCCTTTGTTTACGCGTTTCTCCACCGGCAAAGACTAGAACTTGTTACTTTCTAAGGAAACTTCTATTATAGTCTTTGTAGTCTTGCATCCAGTAATGTATAGCTTCATTTTACTGTCAAAGTTTGCTATAAATCATTCGCATAGGGCTGCAAGATACCCTGATAGTGTTTGAGTACATGATCACAGTCATTTATAGTTAGAAAGTTGTGGCTATTATACTGTAATACTGCCTACAGAAGGATTCAAAAACAATTACTGAGGATTTCTGCACTAATTTGGATTACTGGTTCTATATTTACAAAATCTTAATTCAAAGGAATAAGTAAGTAATTTGGATTTAGTATTTTTGTTTTCGAATTGGAAAATTGAGTCACGATATACATATAAAATAATAAATACCCTTTTAATATATGTATAAAAATTAATTGCTGTTCGTTTGTCTCGATAAAACTCTAAAACAGATGGACCGACTTAGTTAATTTTGGTCTTGAACTATTCGTGAAAGTGGTTTAAAATATGGAATACATATGGAAGAAATGCGTGTAATACACTTAAAACGACTATTTTCTTTCCCATACACACTGCTGTGCAAGTGTCACAAGATAAATTGATAAGAAAGGAAATTGACATTAATAAAATGTTTTTTTTCACTGGGCCTGCTAGTTAACGAATAAATATTCCTACCTAGGAAGACAACCCTACTCAGAGTAGGTACATCACTGTACGATTCGTGACCAATGAACGTCAAGCTGCGTTGCGTGAAAGCGCGCACCATAGGTAAGCATATGTACATACAAACATATAGGTAGTTTCCAACTAGTCAAATTCAATACTTCTATTCCTTCCTCAAGTCCTTACCTCTATAATATAAAAATCAATGTTTTTAAGAGCTTTACTCAAGATCGCCTGCACCAATTTAGCTAATTCGAATTTTCGATGCACGGACTCTGTAAGATTCTTACGAAAGAAAATTTTTGAAAAGTAAAGGGAAATATCGTATAATGGATACTTTTTCGAATTTTCGATGCGTGGAGTTTAAGCGCGGTCGAATTGAGATCCTCCCTGCTTTTTGGAACTCGGTTAAAAAACAATTGACCGATACCGGGATTGTTCGACAGCCGTGCGAAGCCGGACCGGGTGGCTAGATTTCAATAAAAATAAACAATATGCTAGACAAAGCTTGTGAACTACATAGTACCTTTGCTATCAGTTACAGTATGTCTCAGGTGGATGACTTGCTGACGGAGCGTGTCCTCGTGTTACTTGATAGCACAATATTCCTTCTCTACGTCGTGGTGATAGGCTCACAAAACCACAACTGTGGTGGGCTTATACTCGCGCAGGTAAGGACATTTCTTAGGGTTCCCGGGCACTCAGAAAATTATGGTTATCTCTCTGTCTGTTCCTATATTTTTGTATTGTAGTATTTGATACAACTTCTTCGCCTGGACAATGACAAGAACAAAATCAATGCGCTGATCGTCAATCGGAAGAAGTGGTGCCGCAAGAATAACAAGAATATTTTTTTAGGAATAATAGACAATAGTTAATTTATTGGTCCCGATGAATGAACCGTTGTTGTATTTAGAACTAATACGTCCATGTATTTAAATTTGTGATTATTTTAGTGGATTTCAACATTTTAAATATTAAACTTAGACACCTGATATTGAACTCAATATAAATACTTTTATAAAGAGTGGCCTCTTTTGTTGATTAACCATTGAATCGTTAGTACGGAACCTTCGGACTCCGCTTAAAGTCACCCTTGTACTGGTGTTGAGGTAAATATTTTCTGCGGCACATTCCTTCGTTAACTATTTTTAAATTACTGTGGTTTGTCATGATATCCTTTAAGAATGCCCCTTAGCTAAACGACAAAAAAATACATTTTTAATCACGCTTATATAAAAGATGTTCATCGTAATGTTTTGGTAGTAGGTGTTCATGCATCGAACATGTTCAAATTTTAAAATTAGAATTACACGCTCTTCCCAATTATTATAAAGATGAAAATTGGTAATCTACATATGTACCTATTATGGATATTAGTTTAAGTAGCATCCAATAGGTAATATGGTGTTGATGGAACCAACAGGAAAGGTTGACAGATGGAAATTTGGACTACCTACCTACCTAAATTAGATGGATGGATGACTGGATTTTGACGATACGTTTACCGAAAAAAAAAAAATGTTTTAATGGCATTTGAATTTTCTACTTCCGGCGAGGGAAAGAGCAATCTATAGTTCTCCAAAAATATAAACATACCTAGTTTGAGCTTATTATATACGACCATTTCTCCTGATGACGAGGAAATCTGATTCAAAGGATGTATTTAGTATTTTTTAACTATGAGTTTATAAGATTATCTACTGGATTAAAAGTTTGAGATTACCAATTTGCCTTGGGTTAGCGTGGGGAATAATGCTCGTACCTTCTCAGTGAGAGCTGAGACTTTTGGCTTTTGCTCTGCGGTTGACACTTATAGGCTGGTGATGATGATGACGATGTTAATGAGTGTCTTTGAGAACCTAAACCTCCAATCATAATCATGCTATTTGTAGCCTTATATTACAGAACTGTTTTAAATCCCTTTCTTTGGCTTGGACATGTTTCTAATAGAACTGAACTGAAACAACATCAAAGACATTTGTAAGAAGCTTATAAAATGATCTATTAGAAATTCCATACTAATTTATTGCAGCAAATACTTATTAATACAAATAACTCTTCTACCATCAAAGCAAGGCTTACAGACTTCATAATGTACAGCTGCTTCACTTGAGATTTACCAAGTCGATCGCAATTCATTCGTATAAGCCTGGGCTTAAACATAACATGAATAAGCTTAGTCGGTTCTAAGCTTTGCAAACGTAGCTAGGATTAAATGATATATGGTAGTGAACAAGGAATGTGACTTTTGTTTTGTATTTCATATATCTATTAAAATTTCATTTAATTCATAAAGCACAATTACTTATTTGAAGGAATTGATAGATTGCGCTATGCTGCTCATGAATATGAGCCCCTAGCGTGGCTAGAAACTAGTCGAGTTATGTCGAAAACAGTTCTGTTTGAGAGCAGTGAAACATTATTTTTGTTTAGTTATTACAAAACGTTGCCTCCTCATCAGGATTTTGCGTGCGTGCGTTTACAAACATATAATTTCACATGCGATAGTTTAAAATTACTCGTATTGTCGTAAGCAGAGGGATTTAACGGCTACTTAAATATTCCTTTGTAACAATTTTGTTCTGAAAACTATGGCTTATATAGACTGGGTTCAGTAAGTAATAAATTAGTACAGCGCGTTGGTTACCTACTCGAATTATTTTAATCATACACATACCGATAAAATATGATTGCAATTAATAGCGACATTTATAATTTTAATATCGTGTATCTAACACGTTACACCGTCATACTGTCCAGCCCTTTGGCTATAATTATGTCGTTAAACTTATAATCCAGTTATGTAAGGCTGTGGGTAGCTATCTAAAGGATAGTTGCTAGGATTTAACTTTCAAATTTTCGCAATTTCTATAAATAAGCCTATAATGATAAAGTTAAACTGTTTTATGATGTCGTGGTGGCCCGGAGGTTGGCACCCGCTTCTCATGTATGAGGGTGCGGTTTTTAAACCTGGCAAGTACCAATGTGACTTTCTCCGAGTTATATGTACTTTTTATGATTATTATTTAGACACTACTGACATAAGATGAAGGAAAACATCTTGAGGAAACCTGGTCTTTTTTTATTATAAATGTATAATCCGCCTTGAGCAAGGTTGGTGATTAATGCTCAAATCTTCTCCGTGTGAGAAGACGCCTTTGCTCAGCTGTGGCCACTATAATAGGCTGATGATGTGATATTTAATGATGGTGGAATGGAATGCTTTTGTTACTACCTACCCTGCCCTCGTGGTCTGTTGTAAGAGCTACCTAAGGAAAACTTCAACGAAAAAAGACATCCAGGCTCTCTGATCCAGTTAGGGTTGCGGATACAAGCGGTATGATGTACCACAGCTCAGATCGTAGCAGGAGAAGGAACGGGGTAGTTCTTAGTCAGTAACAGTCTGACACACCCTATCCCCCCCAGGGCAGGGAAGAAGACATCGAATGATTAAACCTCTCAAAAATTATTGTTTTGAAGAAGTGATGATGTATGAGTGATGTAGGTAGATAAAATGGGTATAATACGGCAGAGCACAATCGAAGTAGCGGGCAAAAGCTAGTGTTTATATGTTAGTAGGTAGTATATTAACAAAATTCCAAACTGTTGTGGAATACTTAGTATTTGTTTACACATACCATCACGCGTAATTTTCTTAGAAGGGATAGGTAGATGTGTATAGTAAAGCTCACGTTTCTATGTTATAATTATTAATAATTGTATAACTGAAAGCCCTGTAACTAGGTGATCGATATCAGAGAATTGGCCGGCAGTAGTTGCATGGCAATGTACCACGGCCGTGGCTTGAAGCAAGAATAGAAATGTTGATATTGAATGTTAGTAAAAGTTTGGGACTCCCTCTCACCCCTCCTAGGACGCGAGAAGACATTTAATGGTTTTCCCTCCTCAAAAAATATCTAATCTAATACTAATAAAATGGCATATAAAAGAAAGATTACACATTTTTGAAGAAAAATTGGTAGATGTAATAATTCGTCGTGATTGGATTAAGAGTGTAGTCTTTGGTAATAGGTAGGTGCGCCAGTCGTATTTAGTGACCTCAGGTTTTCATCAATATGTAATTTGATATAAGTAGTCACAAAGTTTGCCAATTAATGTTTGCTTACCTTGATTACTAATATTACTATAATAAAATAATGGTTGGCGAAATATTATGTACAAAGTGTCTATTTATTTATCTCTGTACCATTTTATTTTTAGGCAGAAATAAGTTTCAGTAACTTGACTTTCAAGACTTTATTAACAAACCTAGATTTACATGGAATTACATGGTCAAAGAAAATCTCTTGTGGTCCCTTTTACCTACTTTACATATATTTTGCTAGAATATTTAGCCAAACTGTTGCAGTTGACATATAATCCGGATGGAGCTTTTGCACTTAATCCTTAAAGCACTGTTTATAAAGTTGAAAATATCATACCGTTTGAAAAGGATTTTTTGTGGTGTTCTTGATAAAATCAAGATTAAGGTTATGCTAGTTGTTGCTGCCCTGAGCAGGAGGAGGAACAGGTTGGTTTTTAGTCAGTAAGTGTCTGACACTCCCTCTCACTCCAATCAGGGTGGGAGAAGTCATTTAATGATTTCACATCCACTAGGGTTCTGTAGCAACCCACATAAAAATATAAGATTTTAAAGACTATTATCGAATAGCGCAAAATATTTCCTTCCTTCGATTAAGCCATTTTCGTACTGCAATATAAAGCCTATGAGAGGGTCACAAAGTTTCAAGAAACGTGTGGGCACATCATATCCGAAAATTATTAATTAAAAACCTTCGTTAATGCATTTGATTGGCTATTTTTTTGGACATGATTGTTTTATATTGCCGTTTAATTTGAATTTCGAATGTATTTTGATTATGATGAATTTAGCATTGACCATAATCAAGTATGGGAGTGGTTGATTGTCTCTGTTTGGCATTGAACATGGAGCCCAGGCTATGACATAAGCTGTATAATGTTTACGTGCGAAACGTACTGTGTGTGTATAAAGGTATTAGTGATAAATGAATGAGTCAATGAGTTTGTAGATAGGACAGAAGTCTAGTTTTACTCACGACCTAGAATAATAGTAATAAGGGAATTATATTTTTTTATAACCCACTCGCTGCTTTTGCGACACCGCTATTTTGTGAAAAAGAAAAATCATAGAATTACTTCTTCAGCGAAAGCGAGTGTCAGGCTCATTCTGATTAAAAACCGCCCCGTTCCTTCTCCTGTTCCAGGCTGGAGCCGCAGAACATTTTTAGGCCCGACCTTCAACCCCGACTGACATCATATTCTAAAGTTTCTGAATACGCCTCTTGTTTAAAAACCACTTGATCTGTTTTCTCTCGCATGTCGTATGCAATTTAAGAATCTATGTTTTTCATAAAATTAGTGGCAGTGGAACTATTTAAAGCAACTAAAGAAAAATATGTGTTTGGTAAAAGGACCTTTTTTTCAGTCGTGAAAAATGTATTGTCATGGTTATTTTTTTATTTGTTAGTATTAGGGCGGATTTTTCAATAGTCAGATAAATGCAATCTGAGGTATTAAATGTTGCTACCACTTTTGTTTCTCATAATTATTCCCCAGGTTACTTTTATCAGCCCTTAAAAATAGTAACTATATTGTTTTGAAACTCTCAGCTGACGAGATGACATTTGCTGCATTAAGTGCAGCCAGTTCGATGCTGACACCGAAATAAATATTAAATCTTTGATAAAACAAACTTCTTAAGTATTAATTTATAACTTCATGCTTTGTCATTGTATTTATGTCATTGGTATTAAACAGTAGTTTAATTGCATTGCGGATCAAGTTCCTATCTCTTCAATCTATGCGTGACTCTGATAATATCTGGTCCTTCTGC